CGTCGTGTAAAAAAAAAAAACAGCAATTAAATGATTATAAAGTCGATTAAAGTTTTTCTCTAAAAGTCTGCTTAAAAATTAATCGGAGATTGTCTTCATTGTTGTTACAGGCGCGTGTTAACGGATGCGTGATTTGTTTTATAAATACTTTTGTTATTGACAACTGTTGCATTACTGAATGTCCAATATTGTCGTTTGACGAGATGGATTCCGTCGATCTATCGAATCGCCTTCGTCTCGCTCTTCGAGACGCAAAACCAAACGCGATTTTTCCATCGCGAAACTCGGGCGTTTCGCGCCGCAACTTTCACTGGTGATTAACGATTATCGCGGCCGCGGCGATTCGCGTACTAAAGAATATAACGAAACGTTGCGCCGATTCGATTCAGCAATAGTCGGCGATCGTTGCCGCGGCAATCTCCGATTAGGTGACCCGCGTGAGTGAGATTTTCGAGTTTCACTGTCTGTTAATTCGTTGTCTTTAACGTATCCGATGGCGTATGATAATCAACAACCGTGTTGACGCAAAGTCATTCCGTCTTTAATACTGGCATTATTTGGACGGTGATACAGGATTGGCGCCTTCGCCAAACGGATCGTTGTGCGATCCAACCGAGTGAAAATTTGAGTTGTGAGCGAACACTGAAAGACTTTGAAAAGTATACGAATTGGAATATTACATCACGAGATTGATCGGGCAACAATGTTGGAGATCGGAACCGTGTCAAGGCGGCAGGCGCTGCGTAATCAGAGGTGAATTGTCAAACGTATTGCTGCGACATACGATGCACCTGCAATTAATCTCATCTCCCATTTCTCTTAACGCGCTGGCCGAGGAATTCTGCGCGTAGAAGAAGTTTAACGACAGCGGCGAGTGCCACGCACAGAGTGATCAAATAAAATTTCCAAGATTCTGCAATTCTGTAATTTACGAGAGAGGATAAATACGCATCTGTTTGCTTGGAATTCGATCTTTTCAGAGAGCAACGAATTAGTATTAGTTGCACCAAAGTGACTTTGGTAGCTTGAGTAGAGACATATCTGCCCGGTATCGAGGCATGTCGAGCGACGGCAAAGAAAGTAGAAGGTGGTCAATCCTTTGAAATCACAACCCCTTGAGTGGTTGAATCACTTTGAATTACTCCCAGCGGAACCGAGATGGATCGGAGTTTTAAGAACAACGCGGACTTCAAGATGAATCAACAGAACTTCAAGCTGAGCGACTTCGGGATCGACGTGAAATCTGGCCACGATTCGAAGACCGCCGGTCAGTGCAAGGTTCGACGAAGTGCTCAGGTCAGCCAGCGGAACTCGCACGTGCAGCAGCAGGTTGCGATGAGCTCGGGAAGACTCGCCGCGAGTGGCACGAATCTGCTGCAGATCGCGTGCAATCGTTCACGGGCCGGTCCACTGTGCAACACGCTGATGACGTCCAATAGCATCCAGCACAGTTCGAATCAACCTGGACAGATGCAGAATGCGCCGGTGACGGACCGATTCCAAGCATCCAGTCCCGGCAACCTGTCCGTAACCAGTTCGATCGTGCAACTCAGCTCGTCGCCCAATTATTGGAAACAGTACGGGGGGCAGGAGAGCGGGGTAAATATATCGGAGACGAGGAATTGCGAACGGGGCGTAATACGAATACGAGTTCTCGATTGCCGTTAAAGTCGAGAACAATAAGCGATAAGCGGAGAAATTATGCGGCCTGATTATCTCCGCCGTTTATTTAAATGGGCTAATTTAAATTGCCAATGTGCGAATATTTTATGTTTCGCGTAGCGCATTGGTCGGATAGCGTTGTAATAGCTAAGACGCGCTTAACGGCTAACGATAAATTTCGAGAATTTCTATCGAATGCTGCATTGTACTCACCATGTCCAAGAAGGTGTCCGGCATGTGTCCGAGAATTCCTCGGCTCGTAAATTCTAGCTCGAACCGGTGTCTTGCAACGAACGCACTTGATGTCCCAGCTGGTTCGCGTGAAATTTGCCACTCGACCTCGGACAAGGTAAACAATGCGTTTACAGTTCGAGCACGTATTGTTAAGATAAAAACCCTTAATCTCTTAAAAGGTATTAGTTTAATGCTCGTGTGTGATTTCTCGAGTCGGTCCGTATACCTCTTGTCACATTATGATTTTATCGCAAAAATGTGTATATAATGTTTTTTTTTTTTTTTTAAATTTACTAGCATCTTCAAAATAACGGCGATATCTTGTGATAATTGCGGGGGAGAGTAATTACTCGTTTCCTCTACGGTAGCAATCGTTGCAACAGGAAGTGTCTCTCGACGTTTAGCCTCAAGCGTCGTGGTTCTCGTATCTAATGTTTGCCTCTGTCTCTCTCTGTCTCTCTCTGTCTGTCTGTCTCTCTCTCTCTCTCTGTCTCTCTCTCTCTCTCTCTTCACATGTGTAACAATTCATGGCGCGTTTCGCTTGCAAGGCTAATTAGTATGTGCCGCTGTGCCGCGTATTAGGCGGTGGTCACGGTTGCATACGAAAAACACACACGAAGAGAAGGCAGCGACGCATCCACCGTTGTCATTTGTGAAAGAATATATTTTCACGAAATTCCAAGAATATTTCCCATTCCACATCCTCTCGTTCGATATCCGTTTTGCCACCGTTTATTTTATTTTTTGCTTACAATATTTTCGCGATTGTTCATTGTACAGAGAAGATGACCTTTAGTAGAAAAGAATTCTCTTATCGAGCTAATGTTATTAACAAGTTCTACATTAGAGAGAAATAATTTGAAACAAATCAGTCGGCGCGATGAATCAGATTCTGTCGTGCGATTCCCCATATCCGTCATCAGTCAGATAATTGAAAATTCTTTTTGCGACGAACGGACAACATGATCATCATGATCGAGCATCCGGTTAATTTACTGTAAGCGGATACAGTCCGTTATCGCGATTCAATCATAACTCATCCGGCATATATGTATATGTATGTATATCTTGTCTCTGTTCTCTCTCCCTCTCTCGCTCTCTCGCTCGCTCCCCTCTTCCTTTTTCTCTCAATTAATGGGAATTAATTGATCACGGTAGTCGTTAATGCTAGCAGGTGTATTCCACAATGAGAGTTACAAATAAATAGAAGCGGCTTTCTCTCTCTCTCTCTCTCTCTCTTTCTCAGCCGATGTGCGTCGTCGTCAGGACAATTATTTTAATTAGATCGCGAGATCTCTCGTTAAAGTGCCTGCGATACCTTTGTGCGCATCATAGATACATCCTGCTTATCTGACGTCGACGTTAAGATTTATGATTGCCGTCGAACTGGGCGTATCGCGTTTAAATAATTATAGCTTTGAGAAATTGAAAGAGGCTAAACATTTCAAGATGAAAATTTTAAGATTTTCTTTTTTTTTTTGTAACAAGAAAATTATATTCTCCGCGATGTGTGTGTTACATTTATGAAGCCTCTCTCTCTCTCTCTCTGTTTCTCAGCCAATGTGCGTCGTCGTCAGGACAATTATTTTAATTAGATCGCGAGATCTCTCGTTAAAGTGCCTGCGATACCTTTGTGCGCATCATAGATACATCCTGCTTATCTGACGTCGACGTTAAGATTTATGATTGCCGTCGAACTGGGCGTATCGCGTTTAAATAATTATAGCTTTGAGAAATTGAAAGAGGCTAAACATTTCAAGATGAAAATTTTAAGATTTTCTTTTTTTTTTTGTAACAAGAAAATTATATTCTCCGCGATGTGTGTGTTACATTTATGAAGCAAAGTGTAATTACAAGTTTGGAACAAACTAGATGTGCTAAAACGTGAGAGACTTATAACAAGTTCACAAAAGTCGTTACGACGCATGATATCAAGATATATGAAATAATCTAAATGAGTATTGCATCTTCTGGTACGTTACAGAATTTCATTTTAATTCCCGCATAATATCGAGATCTAATTGACTCTTGTCGCAATTGTTTAAAAACAAATTATTAAATTTTGACAATTTTTAATTTGCTAGTAATAAAGATAAACAATGACATTCTTCTCTGGTTCAACAATATCGCTTTAACGATAGCAAACATTTCTACAATTTTAAGTTTTAAATCACTTGTTTGTAATACTAATTGAAGCCATTAGAGCGGTTGAAGGAAAATAAAAGAAGGTAAAAGAAGACAAACGTAAGCACGAAGTTGGTAATAACGAAGTTAAATACCGGATGATTCCGAATATATATCGTAGGATGCTCCGCACGTTTTAGAATGTACGAAGGTTTCGCTTTGGAGGACGGCAATGCCACCAGCCTCTCAAGACTGGTTTCCGTGGTTAATGTCGGGCTTTCGCAGATTTCCGTCTCGATAACTGTAATCGTAAAGCGAGTCATTACGGTAATCTTGGCCTCGTTCGCGCGGATTTGCTTCTAGCCGCCGTGCCGTTCCGACCAGCTTAAACTCCCATTCGCGCTTCTTAGATTTTACGGTGTAAGGATTAACGATGGAAGACGGTCGCGCCTACCCTTTTGCCGTAAATTTTTACAGCATCGTAAATTTTTTGGTTATTTAATAAACGTACAACCCGCTAAGGGGAGATGCGATTGTCACTCGGTAACCTTGAAAGATATCGTTGCGCTCGGTCAAACAGGGAGAGATGCAGTCTGCCATCTCGTTAACATACCGAAGAAGCAATTATAATTATGAAATACTTCGGGCGAATCGACGGAAAAGCATTAAAGTAGTTACCGCACTAGGCTGCGCATTCTTTTTCTTTTTCTCTTTTTCTCCTGTGGGAATGGCACATAATAATCTTGCTCTCACATTCTTTACGGCTAATTGTAAGAAGCTTTATTTCACAAATCGATTCGCAACTCGAAAATCAATATTGTACATGTTTTGTGCATATTTTACGCGTTCGAAACGCAACTTAAGGGATCTTCTTAGTTTGACGCTCTGAAAAAAAGGCGATTTTTGGGAATTTTTTAAAAGAAAAGTATAAAACATATTAATTCCAAACTTTCCACGTTTATTAAGTAACATTTCAAGTCCAGCTATTGTAGTCATATGAAATACAAAAACCAAAAAGATTCTTAATCTGTATGAGTGTGGCTATCGCGTGAACTAGAATAAAAAAAAAATATTGAAAAATAAAAAAATGGCAGCGTCTCAAAAAAAATTTCATTTTTCACCAAAAAATTGATTAGTTTTGTAAGTCGCAAAATTTGAATTTTGCAAATATCAATTTTATTCTAATTCACACGATAACCACACTCATACAGATTAAGAATCTTTTTGGTTTTTTTATTTCAGATGAGTATAACGACTGGAATCATGTCCGCCACTTTTTTTTTAGACATCCTGGTTGGACTACCATAACTCCGAAACAAACAAATATTTTTATTTGAAAAAATTTTAGGGTATACTTGAAATGTTACTTAATAAAAAGTTTGGAAAATTTGGAATTAATATGTTTTATACTTTTCTTTAAAAAAATTCCCAAAAATCGCCTTTATTTTCAGAGCATCAAACTAGAAAGACCCTATAAGACAAACTCTGGCATATACTTTAAACACAAAATCGTAAAAATCTAAAATTTGACGTTAACAAAGTTAACTCATTTCTGTTTCAAGTTCCTAATTTATCAGGCATAACAACATATAATAATGATATAATTGTATTCATCCTGCTTCAAGTTCGACGTTACTTGTAGTGACGCGAGGAATGTGAGGTGATCTCGTTGCAATTCGCGTCCAAGCAACATCTCTGTTGAATGGAGGTGCGGATAGCGTGGAGGCGATCGTTCGGTATTCCTTACGCGGTGTCGCGGGGGAGGAGAATTCGTTCCTGTCGACGGACGGAACTGCATGCCGCTTGTAATTCTGTGCAACGTCGTCTTTTATACGGACTTAAATCACATTCTCGCGAAGTGACTCGATCCTTCCCCTCCCTCATCCTTCGAATAGTGCGGTGACACGCACGCGTGATATATTCTCTATCGGGTGATCCGAGAGAATCTGGCGAGACGAGAGAGGCCTATTCCGCGGATTTGATCCTTTTGCAGTGGTCTGACTTTACATGGGCTCAAGTTGCATTCTCGTCGAGTGAGTCGGCGCAGTCGACGAGAAAGAAAGGGAGATGGAGAGAAATCTCGCTTGGTTCTTCGTCTGCTCTCATTGTTCCTCTCAGCGAACTATTGTTCCTATATCGGCGGGCGAGTTCTTGTAGCGCGTCTTTGTTCTCCAAATTTTTTTACAGCTGAATCGTCGCCGAATGTCTCATCTCGATAATTCAAGTATCAATAATAGTGATGTTGGTTGACAACGATAGGTTAACGATATCTGTATTCATTTAAATGAATGATCGAACCGTAAAAAGATGATTTAAAGATTCTTTAAATATATAAGTTATAAATTTTTTCGGCGTAAATTTTTCGGACCTAGTAATTTTTTTGATAGCTTATCAGCACTCAATATGATTAATGAAACGTGTCAAAACACATTAAATTGATGAAACATGTCAAAATATTTACGCGATTAAAAATACTTGTTCGAATTGGGTTTGAAGAACGCGTAAGAAATTTTTTACCTTTGCGAACGATGAATCTCTTCGAAATTCCACGATCGCGCGTGTATCGATGACGGCGATAAATTATTAACCGGCACGAGTTATACGAAGACGAAGGGAAGAACAAGCCCCAAGAAAATGCGACCCGGAGG